GATTCTGATCAGCATGCCTCTTCATCCGCTTTTGGGCTTTGACAAGATAGCTCTGCACTATCTCCAAATTCCGCTTCCACTCTTTTGAGAAGCTGGCAGCTCGAGGAGATTTAGCCATGTTTGGTGCATTCACAGTGTGTGGGAGTAGCGGTTGATGTCAGGTAACAATTTCAAAAGCGCTTTTGTTGGTACTAGAGCTCTTTTGTGAATTGAAACACAGTTGAACAGCATCCAGAAGCTTCACCCAATTCTTCTGCGATCCGGTTACAAAGTGGCGGAGATATTCCTCCAACATACCATTGAACCGCTCCGTCTGGCCATCAGATTGCGGGTGAAAACTTGAGCTGTGACTCAATTTTGACCCAAGGCACTTGAAGAGTTAGTTCCAAAAGTTGCTAGTGAAGCGTGAGTCGTGGTCACTAACAATGTCTTTGGGCAGGCCCCAATATTTGACGACATGAGAGAAGAAGAATCGAGCTGTATCTTCTGCTGATATATGTTGTGGGGCTGCAATAAAGGTGGCATACTTGGAAAACCGGTCCACCACAACCAAGATGGTTGTGATATCTCCGACCTTGGGCAATCCGGTGATGAAATCCAGGGAAACGCATTCCCAAGGTCTCTTTGGGACAACGAGTGGTTCCAAGAGTCCCGCTTGTGTCAAGCGGTCCGACTTGTCCTTCTGGCATACTAGACAAGTCTTCACATACTGAGCGACATCATCCGCCATTTGAGGCCAATAATAGGCACGACGAAGTAACGCCATGGTGCGTTCTTCACCGGGATGGCCGGCCACAGAGTATCATGACATTCCGCTAGAAGAGTCCTCCGCAAATCTCCTCCTTTAGGAACATAAAGTCGGTTCCCTTTTACTTTCAGAAAACCATCTTCCATGTAGAACTGGCGAGTCTTGCCCTGTTCTACCAAATCAACCAAATACTGAGCAGCAGGATCCTTGATGAGTAGATCTCGTATTTGGTCCTTGATGGATGTGGCTACTTCGCTCCCCCATAGGGTGGCGAGTAGGCACACCGATGCTAGATCAGCTCTCCAACTGAGCGCATCAGCAACATGATTTGTCTTTCCACTGCGATACTCCAAGTTGAAGTGGAATTCAGCTAGGAGTTCCTGCCACCTGGCCTGTCGACCGTTCAGCTTCGGCTGGGTCATGAAATGGCTAACAGCTGTGTTGTTTGTCTTGACCACGAACGGGGTTCCCAGCAGATAGTGCCTCCAGAGGCGCAAGCAGTGGACGACAGCCAATAATTCTTTCTCATGGGCGGCATAGCGCCGCTCTGCATCCTTCAGCTTTCGACTCTCGTACGCTACAGGGTGCCCTTCTTGTAGCAAGACTCCGCCGAGGGCATAGTCAGATGCATCTGTTTGTACCTCGAACGGCTTGGCCAAATCGGGAAGGGCCAAGACGGGACTACTAGACATAGCCGCTTTTAATGCGTTGAAGGCCTCTGCTCTCCTTGGTCCCCAATCCCAAGGTGTGACCTTCTTGAGGAGTTCTGTCAATGGCACTGCGATAAGTGAGTAGTTCTTCACAAACCGCCGGTAGAAGTTGCATAGGCCAAGGAACGCCCTCAAGGCGTGGACATCCTTAGGTGGCGGCCAATCTGTGATGGCCTGGATTTTCTGTTGGTCCATCTTGATGCGTCCTTCCTCGATGACATGTCCGAGGAAATCAATTTGCTTCTGAGCAAAGGAGCACTTGGATAACTTTGCATATAGTTCATGTTCCCGCAACCGAGCTAGGACCTTCCGCAAGTGTACTAGGTGTTCTTCCAATGTCTGGCTATATACCACAATGTCATCTAAGTAGACCACCACAAATTCGTCGATGTACTCTCGGAAGACTTGGTTCATGAGAGTGCAAAACGTAGCAGGGGCGTTGGTCAAGCCGAATGGCATGACCAGGAAGTCGTACGACCCATATCTTGTCACACAAGTCGTCTTGTGTTCATCACCCTCTGCAATCCGAACTTGCCAATAACCTGTCTTCAGATCTATCTTGGTGAACACCGTAGCACCACCCAGTCTATCAAACAAGTCCGCCATTAGGGGAATAGGGTACTTGTTCTTCACGGTGATTTTGTTTAGAGCTCGATAATCCACACAGAGTCGCAGGCTGCCATCATGTTTCTTTTGGAATAGAACAGGGGACCCATATGGGGACTTGGAGGGTACAATGATCCCTGTATCTAGCATTTTCGTCAATTGTCTCCGAAGCTCGGTGAGTTCGGGTTGTGACATTCTGTAAGGCGCCCGGGCAGGTGGCTTCGCGCCCGGCACCAACTCAATTTCATGGTCCACAGTGCGCCTAGGCGGGAGCCGCTTTGGCATGTCTTGTGGCATGACATCTTGAAACTCCAGTAGTAACTCCTTCACGGGTTCAGGAATGGGACCCGAGGAGCGTTCTATATCTTCAATGCAGAGGGTTGCCAGGAACGTAGGTTCATTCCTTTTGACCCCCTTCTTCAACTGCAAGGCCGAGATGTTCTCAACGGCCATCTTCATGGGCAGGCACGGGATAATGTAGGGCTTGGCCCTATTGGTACCCATCATCAGTAGCATGTCTGCAAATGGTACAGGCATGGTGTTGGTTTGCCTTAGGAATTCCAGCCCAACAATCAACTCGAAGTCATCTATGATCACCACTCGCAGGTTGAATTTTCCTTCGTAAGGCCCAAGCTTCACCGGTACTTCTTTAGCTATTCCACCTACTGGCTGGGGAGGTGAGTTGATAGCCTTGACGCTACCTTTACCTTTCCCTACAACTAGTCCAAGGCGCTCCACCTGAGTCGAGGCTAAGTAGTTGTGGGTAGCACCCGCGTCTATCATAGCCCGAATGGGCTTGCCATTCACCTTCATCTCGACGAACATTAAGGTCCTCTCTTGTTTAAGAGGAGTCTCTTCATTCGCCTTCTTTTTCCCTTTCCTGGTGACGGGACATGGGTCCTTCTTCTTACGAATACCAGCACTGGTCTCCGCTAGTGCCTCAGAAATGGAACCCACAATTGCATTGAAGGCACCTACTGGTTCAGTCTGGTCCGCATCGTCTGAGTCGTCATCAGTCCCATCATCAATAGCCTGATGGGCATTCATCTGTGCATATGGGCACTCATTGTTCCAATGTGGACCGCCGCAATGACGGCATCCTGAAGGAGGCTTTCTCGCCCGATCATTGTTGTTTGACGCAGCACTGTTGCTGCCGGAGGAAGGAGCTCTAGATTTGTTTGAGTTCCGATCTCCCCCATTTTTGCTAGGACCACCACNATTTTTGCTAGGGCCACCATTGCTAGGCTGGCCCCCTTTGAATCCCGCTCGGGCAGGCGGCTGGGGCCTGTCTTTCCGAGCTTCCATTTGGTAGTCCCCAAGGCATTCAGCTGCTTGGATCGCCTTGGGAAGGGTATCTACCCTTTGTCTTTGCAGCTCCACACGGGCATAGGGTTTCAACCCTTCCAGGAAGGTGAAGAGCTTGTCTTTGTCCCCCATGTCATGTATGCTTAGCATGAGCGCGGAGAATTCCCGCACTTAGTTCCTCACTGATTTTGTCTGGCGGAGCTCCCGTAATTTTCTCCTTGCATTGTATTCAACATTTTCGGGGAAGAATTGTAGGCGTATGGCTGCCTTCAGTTCTGCCCATGTCTCGAGAGTATCTTCACCGGCCTTGATGGCTTCGTACTTCACCCGCCACCAGAGCTTAGCATCGCCCTGAAGATACATGGCAGCAGTTGCTACCTTCTTAGCTTCCTCTAGGCCCCCAACCGCATCGAAATACTGTTCGACGTCAAAGATGAAGTTCTCCACTTCCTTGGCATTCCTAGCTCCACTGTATGGCTTTGGCTCAGGAATTTTCAGTTTCTGTGTCGCGGAAGCAGAGTTCACAACGCCCCCGATTTGGTTTCCACCTCCTCGGAGTAGGCCTGTAAAGAAGCGTTGACAACATTGAGCTGGTCTGTCAATTTGTCAATAGTTTGTTGCATGGAGTCACCCTGCCTGCCTCTTGTGCCCTGTGGGCTAAATCCTCGGCGCGCTCCTGCCGGAGCCCCTCGAATTTCTCAAAAATTTCGGCTGCCTCTGTGGCTGCCGTCTGTCGGTCTCCCTCGGAGTCGCGACTGATGTTTTCAATGTCAACTTCGGCCTGGAGCACCCTGCGGTCCAGGTCGTCCAACCTTTGCCCTAGGCTGGTTCTTAGTTCAGGCACCGTATCCACAATAGGCCGTAATACCTCAACCGTCCCTTCGAGAGCCGCAATGCGGTCCCCATGATTCACCATGGTCAGAAATGGTGGTAATGTCAATACGTTTCCTCGTCCGATGTCGAGCCTAGGCTCTGATACCAACTGTTACGCGGCGCCTTCCTGAGATTCCTTGTAAGGGCGACGTAAGGCTAGGCAACTGATGTCAGTGCAGTTGCTGTCCGCCAACTGAGGTCCCCTCCGTACGCTAGACGAGATTGTTAGTGCCGTACGGGAAAACCAATGTCAAGAGCAATTGAGAGAACAGAAATGAGAATTCAGAATGAAAGAAAGCTTGATTGCATTAATGAAAGCTATTACAAAAAAGCAACGCGGTGTCGAGGGGGAGAGACACCAGTACAGAGAATTGCTTGCTTGCTAGAAAATTTTGATTGCTTGATCCCCCCTAATAATACTTAAAAAAAATAATCCAAAGACTAGACTTGACTAAGCTAGAGAAACATAATGGAAGTACATGAAATAAAACTACTCTATATTTACAATGAAAATGACTTAGTTTTCTATAAGGCAGCAGCAGGTCCGTTGTCAGCAGCAGTGTCTTTGGCATCACGGTCTGCGCGCGCGGCGTTGTCTGCGCGCACGGCGCTTTTAGCTTCTGCCTGCGGCTTGGCGCTGGCGAGGGATATCGGTGGGGCGACAGAGGCACCTGCGCGCTTGTCACTTGGCGCGGCCAAGACCACGGGACCGTCCGTGGCGCTAGGCATCGGGAGGCTTGCTAGGACGCCACTGGGCGCGCCCAAGGGGTCATGGGGCATGGCTGGAAAGCCGCCCATGACAGCACTTACGTCATAAGAAAAGAATTCAACCTGCCGACATAAGCGCTTACGTCATAAGAAAAGAATTCAACCTGCCGACTTAAGCGCTTACGTCATAAGAAAAAAATTTAAAGATGAATTCTTCCACCTATTATTTTTCTTCTCTTTTGACTTTTCTTTTTTTTGATTGCCCTCTTCTCCTTGACTTTAATCTGCCACGACCATGACTTTGTCGTCTTTGGTTGCTTCTCCCCTACTTCCGGTATTAAAAGCAGATCCTGTGGAATCACTTGATTCTCTTCGACGAATATCTTCGCTTAGAACCAATGTCCTGACTTCGTCATCAAATGTTATATTAACAGAACTCAATTGAGTTAATATTATATTAAACTTATTGATATGTTCCGTGACAGATCCACCGTCTATCATCTTTAAGTTGAACAATCGACGCATCAAATAGACTTTACTTGAAGCAGATGACTTCTCGTACATATTTGATAACGCCTTCATCAGGCATCAGTGGTCTTTTCATTAATGATGTTAAACGCCACATTTCGTGTTAGCGTCAAACGAATCACACCAAGAGCTTGGCGATCTAGTAGATCCCAATCCGCTTTGGCCATATTTTTCTGGTTTTTACCTCGATCAGAGGTAAGTGTAATTTTTTCTAGTACAAATAATCCTCTATTTGCATTTTTCAGAATCCAAAATCTTTGCCCTTGAACTTGTCAATCTTAACCTTCCCTTCTTCCGATGCCATTTTCACACAAAAAAGTTATGTGAATAGTGCATGTGAATAGTAACAACAATACTATTTCGTGTAAGAAAAAATATTCCAAATGTATAAGGTAGACAACAATCACTGTTGGTGAATAATATTATCACTATCAATGGATAATGTTAGAAATGATGATCAATAGTGTCGCACTATTCTTGTGAATAGTACCTGCACCAATACCGTGCTTTTCTGCCAGAATTACACTATCTGTGCTCTGATACCAATTGTTGGGAAGCGTGTCAGGCTAGTAGAAGGGAAAAAATATTTAAAAGAGAAAAGCAATAAATTTTACAAGACAAGACAAGACAAGACAAGACAAGATTTACGTGGTTCAGTAATTTTTGCCTATTCCACAGCCACACAAAGAATAACTTTTTATTAATTGAAGAGAAAGAAGAAGTTGAGGGATCATCTGCAAGTGAAAATGCAAACCCCTTTTATAGGCATTTAAATTCCCTACCATGTAAGCACTTACGTTATAAGAAAAGAATTCAACCTGCCGACATAAGCACTTACGTCATAAGAAAAGAATTCAACCTACCGACGTAAGTTCTTACGTCATAAAAAAAGAATTCAAAGATGAATTCTTCCGCCTATCATTTTTCTTCTCTCTTTGACTTTTCTTTCTTTCACATACAGCAACAGGTTTGCTCCTATCATATCTCTCAGTCGATGGATATAAATTCTTTTTCTCATCTCCCTAAAGTGAGTCATCTATGATTCTTCAATACAACCTGTTATTCTTTCTAATGTTCCGAGCTTTGTTGGTGTATACTTGGACATTTAACTCTGTTTTATTGATACCCTCTAGTTGTCTTGTAAATTATCCGTGAAGTAACTCTACCTTGGTTTGAATGCACTGCTCTTGAATTCACGGCATTAGAGTTAGTTGTTGCTATATCATCTGGATTACTCGCAGTCTTCTAGCTTAGTGTCACTTACAGTGGAAGATTATATGCAAAATTTATCAGTCGAGAAAAAGCTTATCACACTTTAGAACTGTATGGAATATTCTGATAGTTACACCAGAATCTGAAATTCATCTGAAATATCCCTCAGAAGAAGGATAGAAATTCTTTTTCTCATCCCCTAATGTGAGTCATCTATGGTGCTTCAATATCTCTCAGACGATGGATAGAAAATCCTTTTCTTATCTCCCTTAAAGTGACTCTATGGCGCTTCAGTGTACGACCTGTTACTCTTTCTTTTATTCCAGGCTTTGTTGGTGTACACTTGCACTTTTATTGTAACTTCCTCTGGTTGTCCTGTAAATTATCCGCAAAGTACTTTTTCCGATGATTTCGATTCACTGCTCTTGATGTCACGGCCTAGTTATATAAAGATTGTGGTTGTGAAAGAATATTCAGTTGTCGCTTGCATAAAAGTTGGAGAACTTCCAACCAAAATGTCACTTTACCAGGTGTGTAGTACCTCATTGCTTACATCTAAACGTGTAATATCTTCTTTAAGTGTTCCTGAGTTTACTATCCTTGTAATGCAGATGTTTATCTTGCTGGGACCGTGATGTTAATATTTGGGATGGGCTTGTATGGATTGTTCATCACTAATGTCTCTCCTGATGTGCATCCAAGCAGTGATCGTGCCCTCAAGCAGTCTTCCTTGTTTGGGATGTTTGCTCTGAAGGTAGCGCACTCTGGATCTTCTTGACTTATGTACCTTATTTCTTTCTCAATTCCATTTACCAATTTTAACGGTTCTTATACTTCCACTATATATTGTTGCCTTTTTCATAAACTTCAGTTTATTCAATCCTGTTTGATTACTGTAGAAGGAAACTGGAGATGGCAAAAATGATGGTTCTCTTTCAAAATGGAAACTACTTTTTTTAGAAGAGAGTTGTTTAAGCTGGAATTGCAGCCATGTCACATGATCTAATATGGTTCACTTTTCAATCATAATGTATTAACAAACATGGTTTTACTCTGAATATCCCTAAAAGACTAACATAAGAGGTATTAAAGATTTAATTGAACTGTTGAAAATTGTTATAATCACAAGAAGCATAAGTTTCGTGAAAGCTAGTAATATTCTTTCTTTTGTCCTGCTACTCTTATGACCCTCTATACGAGCGTTTGCAAATGACCAGAAATTGGTGCTGTAACATGTAAACTTGTGAAGATGAATGCATCTAGCATACATCAACCACGAAACATGTGCACTTGTAGGTATAGAGTTTTCTGTTTTGTTCTCCTGTTTCAATCAGTTGATGTTGCCATGTAGGAGAGGCCAAAATGGATGAAGATCAGTTCGCTCGATGAACTAAAAACCAAAGTAGGACATGTAATTGTCATGATCCTTCTTGTCAAGATGTTCGAGAGGAGCAAGATGGTGACTATAGCCACTGGTACTGATCTGTTGAGCTACTCAGTGTGTATCTTCTTGTCTTCTGCTTCCTTGTATATTCTCCATAATCTGCACAAGGAGTAATAGTTGACATGTACTATACTCATGTATGTATGTATAGCCAAGTAATCAAACTTTTGAAGCTAAAAAAAAGGCAGTCAGGTACATTGCTGTTTCTACGGCTTGAACCCGTGACCTCCTGGTCACATTGCAGCAACTTTACCAGTTACGCCAAGGCTCCCCTCCAAACTTTTGAAGCTAGTATTTAAAAAAAAAAAATTCCCTGAAAACCTTGCATGATTCATTCAGTATTCATAGCTCTCTTTTATGAAAGAAAAATGGAATTCCAATCCGAGGTGTTCTTAGAAAGAAAAAAAACGAGTTGGTTTGTTTCTCTAGACTTGTGGAGGGCAGAATACTTCCTTTTCTCTCATATAGCTCGGCAGTACTAAAACTGAATATTCCAGCATCTACCATTAACCATAGATTAAAGAAACAACACAAAAAACACCTCCCAACACCCAACAAGAAGCAAGCCTACACAAAACAGTACTATTGGGACACTTTCCTCTACTGTGTCAATGAGGTATCATATTATTCGAGTACAGGGCACCTTTTGATTAACCAACTAGTAGTCGTACCCGCGCAATGCGCGGTCAATGTTAAAAATATTACTTAAATTAAATTTTGATCGGGCTTGTTTGAACATTAGATCGTATTGCTTTATTAAGTTTCAATTTCATCGTATTTGTCAATATGATATATCCAATAATAAAAAATTATTAAATTAAAGGGACTTTTTTTTTTTAAATTAAAGGGACTTATATAGTCATTGAATAACTTTTTTGTTATGTATTTTTCTTTACTATATTATACAATGTTTAGTATTCTTACATTGTTAATAGAAATTTTTATTAGCATATTACTTTGTTTAATATTTTGTCGTATAGTTTATTACTCTTGAAATATTTTTTATTTTGAAGTTTATTCTATTGTTCACAATAATATTGTCTGAATTTTAATGAATAAAATCTCTAATAAATTGAAGGGACTTATATAGTCATTGAATAACTTTTTTGTTCTGTATATTTCTTTATTATACTATCCAACTTTTAGTATTATTACATTGTTAATAGAAATTTTTATTAGCATATTACTTTGTTTAATATTTTTGTCTACTACTTTCTTTTTGTAATAATAGAAGATATATATATTTTATTACTCCTAAAATATTTTTTTATTTTAAATTTTATTCTATTTTTCTCAATAATATTGTAACACTCCTCAAATTTATATAAATTTCAAGACTCGCTAAATATAGAATTTAATTTTTCCCCTTAAATTATACTTCTATTACGGAGTTAAACCCTTGTGAGTAATTTTGAGTTACATCTATATTTATAAATAAGTGGCTATACAATTAGGGAATATTAATAATTTTTTTTGGTTAAATCCACTAGGCTGTGTGCCTAGGGCTGATTTTTATATATAATAAATAAATTACAACAGAGGAGGGGGACATAACCTGATCTCCAATGGTATGGTACAGGGGGATCTGGTCATGTAAACATAAGGACCAGAAAGAGCCTGAGAGCTATGATGTGTTAGACCTATGATGAGGATCCAATTGACTATCAAGCTATGATAGTCAACTAGATATGCAAAACCAGGATGAAATAAACCTAGGTCAACTATACATGATTGCACAAGTAACCTAATTCTACCAAAAATTGAGTTGTAAGATTATCTTCCATATACAAACAATTCTACATCTAAGACCAGTGTAGAAGTTCCCTGCAGAAGGTGGCAAAATACATGTGATGATGGATGGTTCTATCTTCAGCCTTGCTTTGACATTGAGATCAACGAAAGCTAATGTGAAGATAGTTAACAAAAAGAGGGCATGGTTTGAGCATATAGTATGCTGCTTCTTGCTGCTGACAGTAGAAAGTGAACATTGGCTGCAATATCTGGTAGGTGTATAGGGCAAGGTGTTTAGGTCTGGGCCCCAGGTGATTGTGATGCAAGTTTGATGAAACTGTTGTTGAATTTGTTGTTGTTAGCTTATGAGATTTGTGGCAATCTGTGCCTTTCCAGCAGAATGAGCACCAAAGGTGCTAATACCACTGACTGAAAGGGCATAAATTGCCCAAGTCTGCACCATGTACCTGCAAAACATAGCAAACAAGTTAGAGAAGGGGAGCTCAATTTCCAGGTTCTTGTGTGTACTGAATATGAGTCTGGGGGTAGGGGGGAATTGGAATCCCTGATTGATGAAGAAGAACTGATTGCAGGTTCTTGTGTTGACTGCAATCAGTGGATTTGTTATTTCTGGTGGAAGAGGAATGTGCATGGAGTTGTTGGTCACAGTAACATTCTTGAGGGTAAGGCTGCTCAACTAATTGCCCAGCTGTTTGGGCATATATGAATGGAATGCTTGAGTCACAACTTGCAGTACTGGAGTCTGTAGCTGCAATTGTTGATTTCCTATTGATTGTGCTGAGGAAATGGTTGAGCATCTGAAGATTGATGGTGTTGCTTTGATGATTCTTAACTGCCAATTGATATATCTCCAAGAGACTGAGCACCATTGGTGCTAATACCACTCCTAGGAGACGTATCAATCGACTGACTAGACCTGCAAAAGAACAAACAGAGTTAGGAAAGACATTTCTCCCTAGATTTCTTTGTCTGTTGTGATCAGGGTATTTTTTGTTGTTTGCATTCAGGTTCTTGTGTAGACTGATGCAAGGTGGGTGATAATGGATGGATATGGGCTGACATCTGTGTGCATGGTTGATTATGTGGGTGCTTCTGTGTGTTTTTGTGTTCTGGTAGGGAATGGGGAATGAAAAGGTGATGGATCTGGGGATATATGTAGTTGGCTATGTATGTTTGGATTGTTTGGAGGTTTAGAATGTGGGGTGTGATCATTTGGGAGTTCCTGTGGTTGTAGGGACTTGCATCAATTCTCAGGTTTACTACAGAACTGAGCAATGGCCCATGAGTACCTGCAAAAAAGAAGCCAATGTTAGAAAATTCAGCTTCAGTGATCTCCTCCAGTTGGATTGGATCCTAATAATTTTAATTTTAATTTTAATATTATTAATTGTTAAAAGTAGGTATCATCAATTATTACTTAAGTAAAAAAAAATAATAATAATAAAAAAATGGACAAAATAACCAAAGCCCTTAAGCCCATAAAAGTTGTTGAAAAGCGTAAGCAGGCTTAAAGCCTTAAAACTTCGAACGAAAAAGAAACTCCAAGCAGACTTCTTCTCAAAAAAAGAAACTCCAAGCAGACTTCTTCTCAAAAAAGAGAAACTCCAAGCAGACTTCTGCGTATAAGAAACAGACGCACGTCCCAGCGAAAATACTCACGCAAGCAACGAAAAATTCTAGGATTCTTACCAATCACTAATTCTTGAATTCAGGTATGTAAATTTTCCTATTGTCAATTATCCTACAGTGGTAATAGGTAAGAATTGAATAGCTAATCCCTTTCTTCCTCTATATCAACAGTAAATTACATGTTTAGGTGTGAAACTTTAAAATTTATTTAAAATGCACTGGTTGTTGTAGAATCAACTGTTTGACGGGTATAAATTGGACTGGAGTCTACGTATTGGCTCGAGAAGTTTTGAGGTGAGTTGATATAACCCTTTACTAAAGTGGTTTAACTCACAAAAGCACGCACACAAGGTGTTTGATGAATTGCATAAAAGAGTTAATATATACTTAATTGGAGTAGTAAGTACCTATTAGCTTAGAATTATTTTCTAGCTAAACTTTAGATGACTATTTTGATATATGTGCATAAATTTCAGATTTCTATGTTATTCTTATATGCCATTTTCATGTTGAAAATTCATGAAGGATCAAGAATCTTTATAAATACTTTTGAATGTTTATTTCATTTTTATGACATGCCTTACATTTAAGGATACCGGTATGAGTATGTATAAAAGATTTAGACTTGAAAAGTCACAAGAAGAAGTTTTAGAAAAAAAAGATTTTTGGGAGTATCCTTTATTCTGAGAAGGGGTCATCGTCCAGGCTTAGGGTCCTGACCAAGGCGTTGACTTCCTGAAATTACTTGTGCCAAAGTAGGGAGCACACGAGCTGAGGGTCTCATTGCTGAGAATTTACTTAGCCGTGCTAAGGTATGAGACATGAGCGCTAAGAACCATGAAGCGAGTGGCACCTCGTGGATTGGGCCTATTCGATTAGGTTGGGATCGAACCCGTGCCAATCACACGGTGACTGAGACATAATTAAGTCAGGATAGTTGGAACTCCCAAAGTATAAAGTGAACTATTTTTTTTATAAGAAAGAAAAAGAAAAGAATTTCTTTTAGAATATTCATAAACTGTTATTATGCAATTATTTTAGAATTGTTCTTATAAGCTTTCTGTTTTACATGCATTTAGAATCCTTGCTCGTAATGTATATGTTATTAAAGTTTCGTCCCCTGTCGTTGAGACTCACTGGGTACAATGGATGGTACTGACGTTCTCTTTTGGGAACCTATGTAGGTCTGCGGTACAACGTAGGAATCGATTTTGCAGGCGAGCAGGCTACGGTTTAGGTCTTCCTTCCTTTCCAGTGCTATTGGTGAGTTCCGCTTTTGTTCGTGGAGTATTCCTTAGAGTCATTTTTATTTAGTTATTTCTTTGTTTACTTAGAGAACTGGCCAAGAAATCTCATGTCCTGAGTAGTGCGTCAGTTTATCAGTAGAAGCTTCATAGACATAGTCGTTGGGTTAAGATTCAGATGTTTTCGATAATAACTTAGCAGTATTTTATTGGTTACTACGAATAAAGTTTTGGAAGTTGGCTTATTTTAGATATTTAAATTATTTAAAAGTATTTGGTTACAGTAGTGTCTTGTGGCATATAAAGTTTGAAGTTATAATAGATTTGATAAGCAGAGATGGTTCGCTCGGTCATGTTTAGTGATCGAGTGCCGGTCCCGACTTATTCAGAAAATGGGTCGTGACAAATATTGTCTGAACTTTAATGAACAAATATAATTTTTATAATTTATAAAAAACGAAAATGATTTAAGCAAAAGAAACAAAGAATTTAACTAACGTAAACCAACACTCACCAATGTTGAGTAGTTAATTTTAGGTAGTTAATTTTTTTATCTCTTTCTTTTATTTTATTTTATTTTTT